AAATGTTAGTTGCCTAAATGATGAGATTGTGAAATAATAAAGTTGGTTTCTTTAAAAAAAAAAAAAAAGATATTACGATGATGTGAAAGGTCTCCATAGCAACGAACTAAAAATCCCGAACATGTGACACTCCAAAGGCCAAGGGTACTGCTAGGGCAACCCTTTCAAGATCAAAGTTTCAGCTCTTCATATGCTCCAAAGGGGGCCAAGCTTGCTGGAGCCGATCGCCAGCGCTCTGGTACGGACGGGAAGGAGCCACAACTGTGTGAAAACTGAGAGCTACTAAGTGCCTCAGTCAATAAAGAGAAAGAAGCTCCAAATATTGACATTGCAAAGCCAGCTCTCCGCTGGCCTGGAGGGCAGACGCTGAGCTGGCTGCCCTCACTGCAGCGCTGGCTGAGCCTTTCTGGGCCGAAGTTAGCCTTTCCTCCTACAGCTGGGTGGTCCGAGCCTCGCGGCTCCCTGTCATCAACCACAGAGCCGAGGTTTCAGATGCCAGGCAGAGGGGGATCCCCAGGTCTCCCCTGGTCCAGGACTGCAGGCCTCTTACCTACATAAGGAGGAACGGGAACTGCATTTTTACTTCCCTAAGCAGTTCTAGAAGGGAAGCAGATCTTGTTGCCCAGGTTTCCCACCTGCTCTTGTTTATAGTGACTCCTGGGTACAGTTTTCACTGAAGCCAGAGAAACAGTCCCCTGTGATGTGGTCGTGTCCTGCCAATCTCCTGACCACCAGCCAAGGCAGAGCCATGCTGAGGCCTCAGACAGCCTCTCCTATCTGTGCCCACTAGGCCGTCCCTCCTTCAAGAGTCTTTGCATAACTGATGTGCGTGAAGGTCTCCTGGGGAAGCCCAGCCCCTCTGGCCCCAGGCAGGCCGTGCGTTGGCCCCCAAGGCCCACACAGGGCAAGTGCAGCGCTAGGGAAGCACCGCTGCCTATGCTCCAAGGCCCTGTCACTGGCCGGAGCTGACCCCGTGACCGGAGCTGTTTTAAGGACCTCTCATTCTGATGCAGCCTGCCTTCATGGAACTCACTTCTGGCCCGCTGGTCCCCAGCAGGGCTTATTCTGCACTGGTGTTGGACATGGTAGCATTGCCAGTTTCTAGGTGACCATCTGAACCACAAGGAAGGATGAAATTTTCACTGGCGGCACATGAGAGCGAGAGGAGGAGGGAACCAGGCTTGGAGAGCTCAGACGCCGCAGGGGCGCGTGGAGGAAGAGAGTCACGGGAAGAAACACATTGGTTTCCTTTTGCTGCTGTAACAAATAACCACAATTTAGTGGACGAAAGTAACACAAATTTATCATCTTACGGTTCAGGGGATCACAAGTCCAACATGGGTCAGCCGGGCGCTGCTTCTGGAGGCTCCGGGGAGCCTCGGTTCCCTTAACTTTTCTAGCTTCCAGCAGCCACGGACACCCTGGGATCACCGTCCCTTCCTCCACTTCCAGGGCAGCAGAGTAGCGTCTTCAACTCTTTCTCTCCATCCCTCTGCTTCTGTCACCATGTCATGTGTCACTTGTCTGACCCTGGTCCTCTGGCCTCCCTCCTATAAAGATCCTTGCGGCGGCATTGGGCCCACCTGGGTCATCCAGGATACTCTCCCGGTCTCAGGATGCTTAACTTGATCGCATCCGCAAAGTCCCTTTTCTCGTATAAGGTAAGAGTCTCAGATTCCAGGGATTAGAAACATGCACACCCTTGAGGGACCATTATTCAGCCAACCACAGAAACTAAGAAAAACGAGCCATGTGGGAAGAGCCAGAGTGACAGGGCCAGGCAGTCAAGGGAGTATGACAACGGTGCTGTCAACAGGGAGAGATGCCACCGAAGATCAAACATCAGCTGCGGGTGAGTGGGGAATGGTTATTTGCACATTTGCACAAATTTCTAACTGCAAGGACAAAAATGGGCTTTTCCAACAGAGCGATTCCAAGTCACCACCCTGACCTGGGGTTGCACTTAGCCCCCGTGAAAGCGGGACACCAGACATGGGTGCTCCCATGGTGACGCTCAGAGTCACACCCAGCACCCACGAAGTAATATGGCCAAAAGTCTTGAACTGTATCAGCCGAGCCGTCAGAGCTCATTCGAGTTCGCAGGAAGTACAGGAGACAGGAGAGCAAAATGAACAACGCCACAAGGAAGTAACAGACAATCTGGAATGTGGGCCACCCTACCAAGCAACTGACCGGGTCTCTTCAAAAGGTCAATGTCGAGAAACAAAGGAGGTCAGGAGAGTGGCTGGGACTGATTCAGGGATGTAAGAGACAGAGAAAACAAAGTAAATCGTGATCTTTATTGAATCCTGATTTGAAAGATGGCAATAAAAGACAATACGGGGACTATTAGGAAAATTCAAATTGGGACTAAATATTTTTTTTAAATCAGGGAGTGATAGTTTTGTTAGGTGAGCTAAAGGTATTTTGTGGCTATGTAGAGCATAAATTTTTTTTTGTTTGTTTATTTATGTTTATACTAGAAGAGATTTGAACTTACGTTTGGACTCAGGGAAGGAACTAGAGAAAGGAAAATGGTGTGGACACGGGCAGAGAAATAATGGACATAGGAAGAAAGAAGGGAAGAAAGAAAGGAAGGAGAAAAAGAAGGAGAAAAGAAGGGAAGGATGGAGAAGGGAACCCTGCACAGGTTTAAGACCACAGCGAGCACTGGTCCCCAAATATGCTGCTGGTGCCACTAGGGAAACTAAAACCTAGACTCGCGGGTGCCCCTCCAGAGATGCTGATTAGTAGGCGTGGCTGAGACCTGGAATCTGTCGGTATGCAAAGCTCCCCAGGACACTCTCTCATTGGCCAGGTTTGGGGCCTTGAAGGGGGTTGGGTTTCTGAAGATGCTCTGCAGAGCAATGAAATTTGTTCTGAGCGGATCCAGGCAGCAAAACCAGGCCTGAGGGAAAGCTCCGGGAGGCAGAGGTGACCCAGAGCCAGCGTGACCGCAGGGAGGCCGGCGCCAAGGCTGGGCTCGAGGGAGAGGACCCCACACCCGGCGCGGCCCAGTGAGGACAGAACATCGGGCACAGGGCTGAAAACAAATCACTGCAGCCGCCTCTGACGCCAGCACTCCCGCTGCGGGGCACAGATGAGCCATTTGACTTCTGCGGCCCTGTTTCTGGGCAGAAAAATCCAGCAAAATGGAGGTGGTAGATAAGCTCTAGTTTTCTTTTTCTTTTCCTTCTCTCTTTCTTTCTCTTTTCCCCTCCTTCCTTGTTTCCTTTCAGCTTTCTGGCAGGAAAGCCCTCCATCCCAGTGAAATGTTGCAGGCTTCCACACGGAGTCCTTCTGATCCTCCTCCTGCAGCCCCCCAACCCTGTTGCCCCCACAACACCTCCAGTTCCCTGGGAAAACCAGTCGAAATGCCTAGGCGCGACTCTCTAAGATTACCTCAAGCACTAACAAGCTGGCAGTTCTAAAATAATGAGGAGCCAAAGAATGCTCTTCTTGGGAAGGCTTAGAAGCCTCCAGGTTTAAAGAACCGCAAAGAGCATCCGGATGAGAGACAACACTAGCAAAGGCCGCCTCCGAAGCTGGACTCCGGGTCTACTGCACTTGACTTGGCTCTCTTAGAATTGCTAGTCCTTACGTAGTCCTCACAGTCTGCAGTGCAGTGACCATTAGTCAAACTCCCTGTCTTGCTGATGCAATGACTCACGTGATGGGGAACCTAGGAATTTGCAGGGCCCTGAATTGTCAAGACTATAGTTAACAAAACACCCGCCGCGGACTAGGATTTGCTGTGGGGGAAGCGAGAGCTGGCAGCCACCTGCATGTGTGTCCCCCCTGGGGACACGCCTTCTAGCTGACTCGTTTATTTTCTATTCGGATGTTCCCTTCTAGACCATAGGTATCTGACACAGGACAAGTAAAATAGCATCTGAAGCTGTTGCCAGGGCAACCTGACAAAACACTCAGCCCCCAGCTACTGTACATGTAATTTGTCAAAGGCAGCTGGCCCAAGAGGGAGGAAAGAGAAGGGCATCGGTTGTGACTGTCGGTCTTGGAGCGTAGAGCCGGGAGACTATTTTCTGGTGAAGTCAACTTAGGCAGAGCAGAAAAGCAGTTGTGACCCGTGCGATAAAGATTCAGAAAAGTCAGGAGGGGAGTCTTTAAACATTTTTTGGGTGATATCTGTAAAATGGTTGCATATCAACGCTTTTAACCTGAAGCTGCCTGAAGACCTGGAGCTGAAAGTAGGCCCTGAAGAGGAGCTAAGAGAAAGGGCAAGAAATCGCAGAAAGCAACTGTAATACTCAAGTGTGTCTGGACACCCATGGGAAGCTGATGGCCCTCCTCTCCCAAACCGTAACCTCTCGTGGCAGCAGGCACTGCAGTGAGACCGGCGCTCTGGAGCTTGGACAATTGGCTCTGCTCGTGGAATCCATGAAAGGGCGGAGGCTCACAGAAGACAACGCACTCGCGCTCACCCAGCCACGTAAGGGAAGAACTAAGCCAGGAGCCTGGGCTCCTGCGTCCCCACGATCTTGCCCCGTAGCTGGCACCTCTGTTCTGGGGATGTCCGTTTATTCTAGTTCTGCAAGAGGCACAACTCGGTCTGGGTTTCAAAGTACGTCGTGGGGAGCCAGGGCTGGGCTGTGGGGGCGCCGGGCACCCCCTCCCACCCCTTCCACCTATTTCTACCTCTCGTGGGGGCTCACTTAAAATTATTTAAGGGAAAATCTACTGCTAAAAAAAGCTCAAAGATCATCAGCCTAAGGATAGATAATGGTTGCACAGCCTTGTGAATGTACTAAAACCACTGAATCATATGCTTTACTATGGTGAACTTTATTTTTTAAATGTATTTTATCTACGATAGTTATGCAGATTATACTATATAAATCAAATATTTATATTCAAATAAAAACTAAATGCCCCCTTATTCACACAAAAGGAGACAGGTTAAGCACGTGGATCTGAATCCTAGCCCTGCGGTCCCACCCTCCACTCTCCCCCACCCCCATGGCTCCTGGGCAGCTGCTCACCGAGTTGGTGCCGAGGATCTGCAGGTTGGGCTTCTCTGACTCCAGCAGCTTGGCCACCATCTTGAGGAAGCTCTCCACGAACAGGTTGATGCTCTGGCAGTGGCAGGCCATGAGCAGCTGGTCCAGCGCCTCCATGGCGATGCAGACGGACCTGAGGAGACAGCACCCGCGCACCCCTCAGCCCCGTGCACTGCGCGACGGGGCAGCGACGTCCTGGGCAACGACCAGGAAAGGGGGCTCGTCGACACATCGTCGACGCTCAGACGCCACCCTGTCAAGTGCCCGCTGCAGCCCAGCACGGAGGATCAGAGCTGGCAGAGAGCCTAAACGCCAGCTCCTCCGTTCCCACGCTTTGCAGCTGACGACCGTGAGGACAGGAGAAGGTACCATTTCATGAGGAAACACAAGCCAAAGGATTGGTGCCCAGAAGAGCAAGTTTTGGCCCCATGGCCAGGGAGATCAGAGCATTACTCGATCCCAGGTAAGAGGCATTTGTTGAGCACCCGCTGAGGAAAAACTCTGTCCTCGGCAGTGCCCGCGGTGTGAGGATGAATAAGTCCTTCAAGTGAAAGATCTTAGAGGTCGAAGATGAGGTAAGCACAGAGATATCTCCTCTGAAGGGAAAACAAGAAACACTACGAGAAAATCATCATGATGTCCCACGAGGGTCCCATAGAAGGAAAGAGGTAGCTCAGGGTGGGGGACAGTGAAGAACTTTGTGAGGAAAATTTAGGGAGAATCTGAGATGGGCCTGGGCCAGCCAACTGCAAAGGTTGAGCAACTTAAAGCTGGCAAGTTTTGTATTTGAAGGTCTCAGTTCTATGATGATCTATGCAAACAATTTGGTTGACAGCATTGTCATGTTTGGATGACACTTACCCTACCTAAGGAGCATTTCTACCTCAGAGGAAAAGATAGACACAGAATTAAAATGCTTTTCACCTTATAAAGAAGGTGGTCTGTGTCAATTCTAACCTGCTAACTACTCAATTCTTCTAAAGTTTAAAACCTGAGTGAATACCTTCAGAACTAGGACTATGCAACATCCAATGGAGAAGAGATTACCAGTTAAGTCAGCCCATCCTGTTTGTTGACAAACAAATAAAAACCTCTTTAGCCCTGGTAGGTGTGACTCAGTTGGTTGAAGCATCATTCTGTAAACCGAAAGGTTGCGGGTTCAAGTCCCAATTAGGGCACTTTTAACCCGAAAGTTGCCAGATCGATCCCCAGATAGGGTGCGTATAAGAGGCAACCAATTGATGGTTTCTCTCTCTCCCTCCCTTCCCTGCTCTCTAAAATCAATAAGCATATCCAAAAAGCCCCAAAACCCCACAAAAACCCAAAACCATTCTTTATTATCTCAAGTAAATCCTAATAACTTCTATATCCTTTAATCACAATTCTACTTTTAGGAGCAGCAAGAAAGAGGGCTGAACCTTCTCCTACCTGCCAGCCCTTCAACCACTCGAAAACAACAATCTCATTTTTCTTGTTCTTCCCTTCTCCCTGTTAAAAATACCCAATCCTTCTCAAACCAGCCTCCACGGGACAACCCCCAATTATGTTGGTGGTCATTGTCTTCTTCAGTCTCTCTTAAATCCCAGGAGGAATGCCAAGAATCAAATGCCTACTGAGAATTAGGAGCACACGTTGAAGCTCACCCCAGTGTTTGTTCCATATTAGTGGCAAAATGGGCACATGGTCAGTCAGGTAAATGGTGACAAACACTTCCCCCACTTACAAACCACTTGCATTCTAAAGGAAGCAAGGTGGACATTCATTTTTTTTTTTAAGTCTATCTTTTAACTTCTAATGAAGAGGCTTTGCACATATGTCAAAAATTATTTTGGTTTAAATCTTTATGGTTTTCTTTAAGAAGTCAGGTTTCAGAGACAGAATGCCAGATGTCACCTCTGGAGTCCCTTTCCCCTCCTTTCTGTAGTGATTTAGAATTTTAGCTGAGTTTGTGGCTGCTCACTAGGAACATTTCCCAGCTTCTCTTGCTGCTAGGTGAGGCCACATGACTAAAATGTTGCCCGTAAAGTGAGGGGAAGTGAGGTGGGCAATGTCAGCATCACTTGCTTAAAAGACAGGATTGTCCTCTGTGTCCTCTCTGTCCCTCATCCTACCAGCTGTGAAGTGGCAACAGCTGGACACCCAGAGATGAAAGTCCCCGGATGACCTCATGGCGCAGAGCCCACAGACCCAGGCTAGACTGTGACAGGAGAAGAAACCACTTCCATGTTGCCAGAGCCACTGTATTTTTGAGTCTCTTTGTGCCCTAAGTAACTCGAGTATCTGAATCAGGTTTAGGAGTGATTTAGAAACTGGGTGGCACAAACAAACATGAGTCCTGAGCAAACTGAAGGAAACCAAGTGACTGACTTCATAGGAAGAGAAGTAAGAGTTGAAACGACTCTATCCTGCCAGCGGGGAGAGCTTCCCAAGCCTTCACAACCCAGAGTGTGGGCTTAGGTGCCCATCACTGGGGGTGAGTGCTCTACCTGTAGAGCCGAACCATGTGGAAAAGAAAAATACTCTCCCGTACAAAGAAAATGCAGGGGAGGCCAAGTGAACGGAGAACTCCCAAACCTCACTGAGGTGCTCAGGGACCGGTTAATACCCCTAAGTCAAAAGCAAGTAGCAAAAGACCCCTCTTAACGGTTATGGTAGAGTGCCCACCATGGGCGTTAAGGTGTTAAAGCTGCCTGTCACTCTAAAGTCAGGTCCAGGTGCTGTATGTATAATAAGGGATGGATTCAAAGATTTGTTCTTTATGTTGCGATCCAAATCATATCAATCTTTGAACGTTAGGCAAACATTGAAAAATCAGCTAATCTGTCTTCTTTAAAAAATTTTTTAAATTAATTTTAGAGAGAGGGGAAGGGAGGGAGAAAGAGAGGGAGACAAACATCAATATGAGAGAGAAATATCGATTGGTTGCCTCTTGCATGTGCCCTGACTGGGGACCAAACCTGCAACCCAGGCATGTGCCCTGACCAGGAATCAAACTGGCAACCTTTTGGTCTGCAGGACAATATCCAACAAACTGAGCCATACCAGCCAGGGCTGTCTTCTTTTTTATTTCTTTTCTTTTTTATTTTTTTGATGAATTGACTTTTTAAATTAAATTTTTTTTTTAATTTAAGTATAGTTGATATACAATCTTATATTGGTTATATTAGTTTCAGGTGTACAATATAGTGATTTGACATTTTTATATTTTACAATGTGATTGATCACCCAACTAATTCTAGTAATCATCTGTCACTATGTAAAGTTATCACAATATTATTGACTATATTTTCCTTCCCCTTTTTACCCATACCCCCAACCCCCTCCCTCTTCTGGTAACCATCCTTTGGTCTCCATTTCTATGAGTCTGTTTTCATTTTGTTCATTTGTTTTGTTTTTTGTTTTTAGATTCCACATATAAATGAAACCATATGGTAATTATCTTTCTATGTCTGTCTTATTTCACTTAGCATATAGTAGAATATCCTCTATATCCATTCATGTTGTCACAAATGGCAAGATCTCATTTTTTATTACTGCATAATATTCCTGTGTGTGTGTGTGTGTGTGTGTGTGTGTGTGTGTGTGTGTGAGAGAGAGAGAGAGAGAGAGAGAGAGATTGAGAGAGAGAGATCATATCTTTATCCACTCATCTATCAATGGACAACTAGATTGCTCCTATATATTGGCTATTGTAAATAATGCTGCAATGGACAAAAAGGGGTGCATATATCTCTTTGAATTCTTTGGATAAATTCTCAGTAGAGGAATTTCTGGGTCATATGGTATATCCACTTTTAATTTTTTGAAGTATCTTCATACTGTTTTCTATAGGGGCTGCACCAATTTGCAGTCCCACCAACAGTTCATGAGGGTTCCCTTTTCTCCACATCTTCACCAACATGTTATTTGCTGACATTTTGATAATAGCCATTCTGACTGTTGTGAGGTGGTATCTCATTGTGGTTTTGATTTGCCTTTTTCCCAATGACTAGTGATGTTGAGAATCTTTTCATGTGTCTGTTGGCCATCTATATGTCTTCTTTGGAGAAATGTCTTTTCATGTCCTCTGCCCACTCTTTTGATCAAATTGTTTATTTTTTTCACTAAGTTAGTTGCATGAGTTTCTTTTATATTTTAGATACCAATCCCTTAACAGAATGTACCATTTGCAAATATAGTCTTCCATTCAGTAGGTTGCTGTTTGGCTTTGTTGAAGGTTTCCTTTGCTGCACAGGTTTTTAGTTTGATATAGTCCCATTTGTTTATTTTTCCTTTTGTTTCCCTTGCTCGAGGGGATATTAACAAAAAGATATTTCTTAGGCTGATGTCAGATCGTTTACTTCCTAGTTTTCTTCTGGGAGTTTTATGGCTTTAGCGCTTACAATGAAGTCTTTAAGCCATTTTGAGTTTATTTTTGTATACGGGGCAAGAGAGTGGTCCAGTTTTCTTTTATTGCAGGTATCTGTCCAGTTTTCCCAACACCATTACTCCATTGTTAAAGAGAACTTCATTACTCCAGTGTATTGTTTTACCTACTTTATCATAGATTAGTTGACCATATAAGCAAGGGTTTATTTCTGAGTTGTCTTCTAGTCCATTGATCTATGTGTCTAGTTTTGTGCCAATACCATACTGTTTTGATTATTATAGCTTTATAGTATAGTTTGAGATCAGGGAATATGATACTTCCAACTTCGTTCTTCTTTATCAAGATTGCTTTGACTATCCAGGGTCTTCTGTGGTTCCATATAAATTTTAGGATTATTTGTTCTAGTTTTGAGAAGAATGACATTGGTATTTTGGTAGGAGTTGCATTGACCACAACACAAGACTCCACAATAACTCAATTTCACTTATTTTGTGTCAAAACTGTCTTGCACATGAGTCAACTTTGTAAATCTAAGCATATAAAGTAACAGTCATGGAATCTTGTAAGTTATTTTTTTTTTTTTAATTTTAAGACATCAGAAACCATCTCTTAGGCACCCTTGAGCTAACGTTTACCCAGAGCAACCATAAGAAACACAGCCTCTCTGCTCTGAAATTTTCCTGCCCACTCTTATAAAATGTTTATTTCCTTAATCTATGTGAACTTTCAACAATTATTAAATTATTATTTAATATTATTAGACTAAAGTATTGTTCATTATTATGAAATTGTGATCTCTGGGCATATTCACAAATGGATCAGAATGTCTTTTAAATACACAGGCAGCACTGGGTCTTTGAGATGCTTCAGTGAACAAAGTCACCATTCCTCCCTGCTCCAGGGGCTGGCCATTCCTGGCTCACTATAGCCTTGCCCTTCTTGCTATAGCCTTGACCTTCAGAGGCCAGCATAGTCACAGTCCAGGAAACCTGCTGTGCCTTGTGCATCCAGTCCCAGCATGTTGCAGGTCCACCGTGCAGGCCAGTGAAGCAGGCTGAGTCTTGCAGGCCTGGGGCCCTTCCAAAGGGGACTGACTTTCCCTGCAGACAAACCTGGACACATTCTGGTACCAAACGCAGCAGGTGGGAAATGGGGGCAGGCAGCATGGAATTTGCTTCACCGATGAATCATCCCAGTCCCCTTCTGTAGGAAGGCTTCACCATTATTTCATAGAGTTTACATGAAGGAAAGGAAGGGGTGGGGTGGGGTTTGGCAAGAGAATAAACTAGAAGGCCCCTCAAACCCCAGAGCTTAGATTGTTGCTTTTCCTTTTTCCTGAAAAAAATTCCCAGAAAAATCCTGATAAGAAAAACCCATCCTTTGCTAGGAAAAAAAAAAAAAATTGGCTACTGACCAGGAGTGGAAATGTTGAGGGAAAGTCAAAATTGTGGTAGAAGTGAAATTGAAAAGTAAAGATTAAGGCCTAGTCCTTTGAACACACTATCTTTCATTTTCCATCTTTGATTCCAATACTAAGGATGGAAGGATTATAATTATGAACTTGAACTTTTCAAACTATCTTCGATTAGAAGAAGTCAATGGAGCCTCAGAACTCCCTAGTGCAGTGCTCACCGCCTCCATCTTTCCTTACCACACAGCCTTCCAGGGTATGTCCTACAGTCTCAATGGAAGCAGAGCACAGGCTTCTCAGGGTGGTGCCCGCTCAAGAGGACTGGGCTCAGACAGGCTGGTCTTAGTGGAGATCTGGCCGGGGCTTGGGTCCTGGAAGACGTCCAGTGTAGCAATGGTACTGGGAAACCGAACTGGCCTGACTGGGTACTTAGAGCAGAATGGAACAGGAAGGAGTTGGTGAGAACTAGCTCATTTCAGGGACCCAAGGGACAAGGCAAGAACAGTTACAAACCACAGCAGCAGGTGACAATCAAGGGTCCCAGATATGCTGGCAGGGCTTCCCAGCAGGTGAGGAGGGTGGGACCCAAAGAAGCTGGGATGGACTGGGGTTTATGGGCAGCAACCAAGCTCTGGAGAGGACACCTGGCAGATTGTAACAACAGGAACTGGGGGTCAGGGGCCAAGGGTCAAGGGTCAAGGCAGAAGGTGAGTTATAACAACTGAGGGAAACGCATCAAGACTCTGGTGTGTAGGAAGAAGGCAAGAAGTACCTTTAGGAACGCCGCAATAGGTAGCTGGCTCTGTTTGAACACACTGTGCTCGGTAAGGAAGGGCCCCAGGAGCCAGGGTGGCCTCTCAGAAAGGAGAAGCAGACAAACAAAATCTGGGAAGCAGCCTTCGTTGCAGAGGAAAGACAGACCCAGGGCTGGAGATGAGGACCAGCAGGCAGAGGAGAAGGGGTGGCTTTAGCAAGGCCAGTCATTGCCCAAGAATCGCTCAAAGAGCAGTGGCCTTGGCAAGAAACTTCTGGGCCACTTGAATGTGTTTGGTCAGCCCCACTCCTGGACAGAACCTTCTTGGTTTTAGGGGCCCCGATTGAGTGGTTGGCCTCAGCCAGTGAAGAGAAGGGTGAACCTCCTTGCCTGATAGGAATCTGCGGTATCACTGAAGGGTCAACCCTGTCCTACAACCAGGTGCTAGGTCCTTCTGGGGAATGTGTCTCTCTCAGGAGCCCTACCAGGTCAGCCCTGGGGCCAGGCTCCTGGGGGGCAGCCCATTCCTGCCGGCACAGGCACCTCCACCCTCCAGGGCTCCAGGCACTGTGGGACCTGGCAGAATGTAATATGGTGTTTGTACACGGCCAATGCTCTGCAGTCATTGTCACCTGTCCCTGAGTCTCATGCAGCACTGCCATTACCTGCCTTCCTCTCCTGTTTCTAGGGGTGTGCACTGGATGGGAGACATACAAAGAGGAAGGAGAAAAACATGAAGAATTTTTGCTTTTTCCTGCGGTTCTTATTCACTGCCTGTCACAGTCCATGCTGATGAAAAATACCTTGAAGTTCACTCTTTACGCCCCCTCTGCCCACACCTATTATCACCCCTGATGCTCAACACGCAAGGACAGAGCTCACGCACAAGTGGAACGGGGCGATGCTTCAGGAAGGCCGTGGGGCGGAGGAGGGCGGCTTTGCCACCAGGCCCCGCATCCAAGCATCCTATCCATGTGGTCAAACCGTAAATACAGACACCTGCACGATGGCAAGGAGACACAGGCCCTCAGACTTTCTGTGTGCAGAATGTCTGCTCTTCCGAACCACCAGTGACAAGGAAGGTAGCGGTAACGGGTGAGGTGCTGGGTGGGGGGAGGCGGGGGTGGTGGTGAGGAGAGACCTTGGCTCTAACAGATCTTTCTTCTCTAAATGTTTATGAAAAGAGCCCCCAGTGAGGCTTCCAAGGCTTTAAACACTTAGATGCTGTAATGGCTATTTTTAACAGAACAATGCCAATTTTGAATTGCAGCTCTGAGGGCAGTGGAATAGTGCTAAGTGGCTCTGCTGGTCACAGAGTGTTTTTACTGAGAGGGCAGGCAAAATTAGTATTAAATGTTTAATGCTATTGCTCACAGATTGGCCGTGGGTTCAATCTAGCATAAAGTCATTTTCACGTGCGTGAACCTGCCTTGTTATATGTCAAGGCGATTTATATAATCGGCATGCACGCTATATTCATGTCCTTTTTCTTGAGAGCCTGACCTAATTTTATTATTAAAATGATCATGGAAAGGAATAGTTTTTGGTCTTGCTCTTATGCCAGTGGTAGCTTGATCTCGGATTTGCTGGTGGATCCCGCTGAGGTGCGGACCGCCATGTGCTGTCAGCGCAAGGCAAGTCTTTTCATCCCTGTTCTCTCTGCACCTTCCTCACCGGGAGGAAGTGGTCTTGGAGGGAGGTGGAGCTGTTGGGCCATGGTGGGACCACGGAGGAGGTCAAGGGGACAGAGCAGAGAGCCAAGGGCAATGACAGCCAGTCCATCTGCAGTTGGTCCAGAGCAGGTGAGGCCGGCGTGGCGGGCATGGCTGGGTGGAATCGTGAGTTAGGGGAAGGTCAGGGAAGACTCTAGAAGGCAAGCTGAGGAGCTTGGATTTTATTCTGAAGGAGCTGGGAAAGCTAGCTTTGGATCTGTGTTTTGAGGGTCATAGCTAGCAGTGTTAATGGAAGGGCCAGAACAGAAGAGGTGGGGAACAGGGAGACATTTCCAAGGTGACTGACGTAATCAGGACTAAAGGAGAGTAAGAGTCTGCCCCAGGAGAAAGGTAGGATGGGTATAAATGGCAACATAGAGACAGACTCAGATAGCGAGCAGGCGGACAGCTGTCAGGGTGCAGGAGCCGGTGAGGGGGTGGAGGGATTGAGCAAAAATTTTTAAAAAGAGAGAAACCTCATAGACAACAGTGTGGTGACTGCGGGGGGCTGGAGGGGGCTGGAGGGGGGAGGGGGAGGGTATGGGGGGGGATAAATGGCAATGGATGGAGACTTGATTGGGAGTGGTGAGCACGCAGTGCAGTGTACAGAGGGTGTGTTGTAGCGTTGTGCACTTGAAACATGCAAAACTTTATTAACCAGTGTTACCCAAAAAAGCTCAACAAAAAAGGCTTTGGGGAGGATAGAGGCAACAGGCCTTAGGAACAACTGCCCTAAATCTCCCCTTCCTTCCTCTCCGCCCCCTGCCCCAGGGCAATACCACCAGGGACCAGGGAGGATTCTTTTCACACCCAGCCCTGTGTGGAGCTGTGGGGCGATGGTGCGGCAGCAAACACCCTATGTCCCCCAGGTCAGCTCGTTCACTGGAGAAGGAACGCATGCTCAGCAGAGAACGTTGAGGAAACATACCCAAAAGGTAAACAGGAAAAACAGAATCAATAAACCCCAGACACTCTGCTCACAAAATGAAGACTCTTAACATTTATGGTATACTTGTCTTTACTCTATTTTCTAGGCATTGAGATTTGGTGTTTTTTTTTAAAGATTTTATTTATTTACTTTTAGAGAGAGGAAAGCGAGGGAGAAAGACAGGAAGAGAAACATCGATGTGCAAGAGAAATATTGATCAGTTACCTATCGCAGGCTCCCAGCTGGGGACCTGGCCCACAACCCAGGCATGTGCCCTGACTAGGCATTGAACCAGTGAACTTTTGGTTCGCAGGCCAGCTTTCAATCCACTGAGCCACATCAGCCAGGGCAAGAGTTCTCTTCTAAACATAGCAAGTACTTCTCAAAAGATTGATAAATATTTCACCTAAGAGTATCTTTAATGGACAAATTACCCCTAATCTTGCCTTCTCACTAGAATGCAGACAGATCTTCCTTGCTTTGCAAGACAGTGAGTTGAATGAGGCAGGATGGGTCTGATGAGAACAATGGCACATTCTGCGTTAGACTGGCTTTTTGAAGCGCCAGACTGTGTGGAGGGCTTCTAGATGGAGACTCAGGGGTAAATGGATGCTGAATGGGATGCTCCTAGGAGGCCAACACCCGCTTCTTCCCAAACCTTGGCAATAGCATCGACTCTTATCCACCTTAGGAAGAGCTCGTGGCACCCGCCTCTCAGTCCCAGGTCTCATTCTCTCAGCCCATTCAGTCATCCAGTCTACTCTCATTTTCATATAAGAACCCTATATTTTACTCTAAAAATGTAACATAGCTTCTGAAAATACTCTTTTTCATTTTCCCATACTACTTACCCATATCGATGACGACCCACATCACGGATGAGCCTCTCGGACAGGTAGGCGCCGATCCGATCTAGCTTTTCCGGAGCTGAGAGGGCATAGAAGGTCAGCTTCTCCATGTTGGTCTTCACCAGGCCATCCTGTAAAAGACAGACATTCCTGCTCTCTGTGGGCCTCTTCTAGCCAGAAGGGTTCCAGTCTCAAAGTAAATACTAATTCAGTTCAATCAACATTTAGCAGAGTGCCCTTATGTATGTGACAGACAACATGCAGACTTCAGGGATACAGAGATGATTAAAGCATAGTTCTTGCCCTCCTTGAACTCACAACATAGCCCAAAGTGTGTTAGCTATACCTGAAACTAGTAAGTGATATAAATGTATATATAGGCATGTATGTGTGTATATATATGTACCTATATGGGTGTACATAAATGTGTGTATGGGGGGGGGTGTATGAAGGCTTCATTGAAAAGCAACGCAGAAGTAAAAGGTGTTGGATATTCCGCCCCTAGAAATGAACAGAGAGAAGGCAGCTCTGTAACTCAGGGAATTCTCCAGAGGGTGCTGGAATGTGAACCCCACCCCTGCACTGCCCATCACGAAGAGGACGTTAATTCCCAGAGAGCAAGTCAAGTACGTCAGATCCTGACATTCCTGAAACCACGCATGTAAGGCAGCCTGATGGCGGGGCCAAGAAGCAGGTGCCCTGTGTGCACACCCAGACACCTGGCAGACACTTGGCAGACAACAGCGGGAGCTGGGAGAAGACACGGGCTCCTGAGCCAAACCCCAAGAAGGGAAGTGCTCACACTAAACGGCAGGAAATAGTACCATCTAGAGAGTTAGGAGCCCAAGGAACTATCACCCAGAGAGACAGGAGTGAGAGCGGTGTCTCCACCAGAACCAGCTTCCAGAGCCCCTGCAGATCCTGACTTCAGAGAGTCTCAGTCCCGCAGCGGCCTCCTGGGAGGGCCGGGGGAGGGCGGAGGCCTGCCCTCCCTGCTGCAGCCCTCGGAAAATGGGCTGAGATGGAGAGAATGAGCGCAATGGCGGCCGGGGACAGGACGCACCTCAGGATCCTCAGGGAAGATGTTGTCCACCAGCCTTTTGTACCTGGGGCGTAGGGCACCACAGCAGCCACACACACCTGGAACGGCAAGGAGAGAAACTCGTGAGCACAGCCCCCACGCCAGGCTGAGGTGACTGGGGAATCAGGCCAGGTGGCTTGTAAGGAACTGAGGCCACGCTGGAAACAGAGAGGTCCCTCCATTAGAGGTCAAGGGTCTCATCCTTGCCCAGCGTTGGCGTCTCCCTCCATTTCTCCATATTCCAAAACATTTGCCCTTCTAGCTTCATGCCTTTTGCTTGGGATCAGACACAGTGTCATGTGCAAGGACGATGCCCGCAGACCAGCAACTGTTCATGGTGCCAGGCAATGGAGGAGCATTTTGAGGGAGAGGCTTTGGGGTGGGAGCTGACCTATGGGTCAGGTATTGCCCCCACGTATTCCACTGTTATGCACGTGCGCGCGCACACACACATACACTATGAAACCGAGACAGGGCTATACAGCTGTTTCCTGCCGCTCGGGAATCCGCCCCCCGCCCCGGAACATGGGCACAGCTTGGTGAATGGTAGCTCCTCCTACGCTGCCCCCTCGTTTGCTCCCCACTTCTTTCATTCTCTGCTCCTCAATTTTCTCTACGGCTCTCTCTCCAGGGACCATTTCCATTATAGAATGTTATGGGGAACTATGATAAATTAACATTACCATTAATTATTAACATTTGAAAATGCATCTTTAAGGCAGCATGACCGTGGTGTTTGGAAACTGTGGTGTGGCCAGCAGGGCGGGGCCTCGGGCTGGCAGCCTGCGGTTCTCAGTGCCAGACGCCCCCAGCCACCAGGCTGTGGCCCAGCGAAAAATGGGATAGGTTTTCAGAAAGCTTTTGGTGCTGTGAAATGACTGTGTTAGGAAATCGATGACAATAAAACAAACCTTGGGAAGAGTCAAAGTGGACCATTTTAGGTCCCTCCATAAAACGTCTTCGATTGCGGAAGACAATCAAGTAGTCTGGGAGCCACTGCTCTTCTGTGACCCTCCTCCCCAGCGGGGACCTCCTCCAGTACAACCCAGAGCCCCTCACCGCACGCGGGGGGGCGGGGGGGCGGTGGGGAGTGGGCCCTGTCTGTGGAGGGGCGGACAGGAGAGCAGGGCAGGGCCTGGGAAAGTCTCCTCCCTAGACAACTGCCCCCCACTTCTGCCAATTAACACTGAATTCTGCTTGTACATTCTCTCTACTTAGAATGCAAATATGCCCTGGAAGGATCAGGCCCCTGGGCTATTCAGAAAAGAATCAAGTACTTCAGTGGGAATGGCTTTAATCACACAATGAGCTTCACACAGGGCGGAGAGCAGGGCTCTGGGAGTTGTGATTTGTGGGGAAGGTGGGGGCGGGGCGGGGGGCAGCGCCAGGAGGGGGAAGGACCAAGATTTGGGGTTTGGATTTGAGGGAACGGGCATGTCCTTGAGGAAGCCCAGGGGCACCCCGAGAGGGCAGGACATCAGACGGCTGATCTGTGACATCCCTCCCCATCACAGGGCTGGCCGTACGCCCCGGCCTCCTCCCTTGGGCCACGGTCGAGCCCGGGGAGGGCAGCTCTCCAGGTTCCGTCTTGCCGGGCTGGCCTGGCACCCCCTCACCTCCTGCCGGCCCCTGCCCAGGAGAAGGTGTTTGCTGGCTGGCACTGTGGTCTTTCTTGTGACAGGACAGCCCCTGAGGGCCACGTTTGCCCTCTTGGGCCCCAAAGCCCAGCAGTTTACCTGCCCTCCAGCCCGGGCAGCTCTCAGGGGGCCTCTGGCCCAGGTGTCCCAGCAACCTCCCCTCCGGTCCCAGGTCCCAGCGGCAGGAAGGCCGGCCCTTTGTGTGGAGGGAGTGAGCAAATGGAGACATGAAGAAGTTAGGACTTCAAATAACCGAGTCAGTCCCTTCCTGGGACCATTCTGGAGGGCCCAGGAGCTGAGCTGCACTGGACAGAGGCCGGGCTCACGGCTGTCGGGAACCCAGACTTGTCGGGGAAGCACAGGCCCATTTTGGGCGTTGGGAGGTGGGTGGGAACCTCCGTGCAGGGCCTGTGGGGGCTGGAGGGCTGTGGGGCACTTAGCACTGGGGTGGGGCGGGGCAGGAGCAACTTCCCAAATACACCTCTGGCTGTTACTTCCCCATCTTATCTGTTCCACTTTAGGTGATCATAGAATGAAAGTGCTTTTTTGGGATCTCAGCCAGAGGGCAGGAAGCTCAGAGCAGCACTCCACACTTCGCAGGTGGGTAATCGGAGTCTAACACAGGAGATAAAGGCCTCCTCTCTGAAAAGGCAAAGAGCTCGGTCAGGAGCCCCTGCCTCTGGGTGCCACAGCAGTTCAGGGGGCGATGAGAGCCCGCAGGCACCCCCAAGAAGCTTCCAACCAGAAGGTGAATTCAGGCCAAGGGAGGGATGTGTGTGTTGAGGGAACGCAAAGAATAGAAGATACTGAAAAGTCATTGAAAACAGTTCATTGTTACTAAATATTAAGGGATTCATGGTATATAGTCCTTTAATCTTGCTCTGATGGTATTTATGCTGAGAGAGAGAGAGAGAGACATCAATTTGTTGTTCCACTTATTCATGCATTCATTAGTTGATTCCTGTACGTGCCCTGATGGGGGATCGAACCCACAACCTTAGGGTATAGGGATGATGCTTAAATCAACTGAACTATCTGGCCAGGGCCTGATGGTATTTATTCCTAATGTCAGTACATAGAAAGAGGAGCTTTAATGTCAGTATATAGAGGAGCTTTAACTCACAGCCATGTGCCTGTTCAAAAAAAACAAAACAAAACAACCAAAAATAGTAACAACAACAAAACCTTTTAAATTCTGAATCCTTTTATTTCTGAGAGAGTGCGCCCCACCCTCTCTTACTCTCTGGGGATCACATCTGGCAGATCCAAAACGGGACAGCGCGAGTCAGTTTATGAAGGGTCCTCTTCTGTCACTGATATGTTTGTACCTGTTTTTAAGTTTGAGAGGGAAATGTGATATGGCTGACATAGCTGCTCTGGTTACTGAAAAAAATCGCATCAGTGGGGATCAGCAGGGTGTCCGATGGCGAGATTTCGGTGGCTCCCTCCAGCTTTAAAACTCGGATTATGGTTAGCGGTTCCCCAGCGGCTCTGCCCCTCCTGCCACCTCCCTACGGTTCGCCAGCCCAACCGCAGGGACCTCCTTGCACTTGGCCTTGCACTGAATATTCCCCATCTGGAATATTCTTTTCTGCGTCCTCCCAGCTCCCACACTGACCACGCTATGGACTCTGCCCAAATGTTGCCGAGCTGCAGAGAACTTCCCTGCCCACCATTCTCCTTTAATTTCCTATCCCTAGTCCATTCCTCTTCATGACACTCTTTATTGACCGACACACTTCTCGTGTGTCTACACTCTGTCTTCTCCACTAGAAGGTAAGTTTCTCGAGACCTGCAGGTGCTCGCAAGGCAGTTCTCCTAGGAGGGTCTCAGGGCGGCTCCCTCTGGAGAGCTGGTAGCTCCAGGTCCTGCATCCTGCCCCGCCCTCTTCAGGGCAGCCATCGTTTCAGGCGCTGGAGGCTGGGCTCCTGGGGTCAGGAAGGGGGCGGGGTGGCTTTGGGCAGTTGGGGAGCATGGGGTCCGAGTTCCTTCTGCCCTGCCCTGCTGCATGCCGGCCCCCGCTTTCTGTGCCCCAGGTTTGGCCTGCGGTTGCAGCCCTGAGGGCTCATCAGAATCACTCTTGCCTCCTTGAGGAGGGGCCCAAGGTATTCTGCTCTGATCCTGGTGCACAGCCTTTGCCGGCCCAGCGCGGGACAACCGATCTCCTAGTGGCTGGCAGCCTCCACAGGCTCTGGACCTCTCATCTGGTCCACCGGCAGCGCCTGTCTCCCCACGGCTCTCATCACTGCAGGGCTGTTTGTCTTTTGCTCTGCCTGCCTGATCCCGTTACCTCAACTAATCTGTGCTAAGCATTAGGCTGAGCACTTTACAAATATTTCAGATGACATTCATAACAACCACTAAGGTGCTACTATTGTTCTCATTTGACAGTAAAGAAGCAGGATCAGGCCCTGGCTGGGAGCCTCAGCTGGTTGGAGCATCATCTTGTACACCAAAGGGTTGCAGTTTCAATTCCCGGTCAGGGCACAGACCTAGGTTGCAGGTTCGATCCTGGTTGGGTGTGTAGGGGAGACAACCAATTGGTGTTTCTCTCTCACATCTATTTTTCTCTCTGCTGCTCCCTGCCCCCCACCATTACCCTCTTTCTCAAATAAATAAACATATCCTCCAGTGAGGATTAAAAAAAAAAAAAGGCAGAATCAGAGAGGTTAAGTGCGCTGCCCAAAGTCACACAGCACCTACCTCTCTACCATGAAGTTCCTCTAATTCTCCCATCATTTCCTTCAAAATATGTCCTCAACAATGTCTTAGATTCATCCTGTGCTCTCCTTGGCCACCATCACTAGGACATTTCTTTGACACTTGAGATCCAGTCCTTGTAAATGCCACTTGGTCAGTCTCCTTGCTTCAATTCATTCTATATGTAGTTTCTTTTTTTAATTTAATTTAATTTAATTTATTTATTTGTATTGTTGTTCTATTACAGTTGTCCCAATTTCCCCTATTGCCCCCCCCGACCCTGGCCCCCAGCTCCGGCAGTCAATCCCGCGCACTCTGTTGTCCTTGACTTGGTTCAATTTGCTTCGCAGTCAAGCAGTTAAGGTGGCTCGCCATCACGTTAAATGTCAGCCCTTCGACTTAGTATTCAACAGGAGATGCCCCGTAAAAGTGGGGGAGGAGGGGTTGTGGCCTTCCTCTGCCATGGCTGGGCCTCGCGCTCATGCCCTGTCCCCTGGGACAGCCCTTGTCCCACAGCCAGAGGCCACAGCAGAGTGAGGGCGAGAGGGCTGGGAGGTGGGAGGAGGAGCGGACAGGGCTGGGGGGAGGGGGGGCAGGGTCTGCAGCCGTGGAGAGTCCCAAAGCTGCAGATAACAGGATGCTCAGGCGTCAGGGACAGGGCAGACACTAGAGATGGTAAAGGGGCAGGAGGGTCAGAGCCACGGAGCTGGGGCCTTGAAATC